AATATAACAGTTGAGCGACCGTGCTAGAACCACGGAACTCGGGAATGCCTAACACCTTCTCCCGGGTTAACAGAATTCCTTATCCGGATTTTCTGGTACGCAGACTGTAATATAGAGTCATTATTTTCCTCGATTCGGGATTAAAATTGGTGACTTGGGACACCCTAAATCTCCCAAGTGGCGACTCTGAAATAATTAAACTCATCCCATTTCGATTGTCCTTTAATTGGAAAAACTCCCCCCTTGCCCCCCCGGGCGCGGAAAAAGGAGGTGTGACAACAAGAACATAAAGAAGATACTTCGTAGGATGGTTCAAGGTTCTAGGCAATGGCATGAAAAGTTGCCTTTTGCCTTACTAGGTTATCACACTACTGTTCGCACTTCAGTAGGTGCAACTCCTTATTCGCTGGTATATGGAATTGAGGCAGTTATACCTATAGAAGTTGAGATTTCATCCCTTCGGATCATTGTAGAAGCTGAAGTTGATGATGATGAGTGGGTTAAAACCCGGCTCGAGCAGTTGAGTTTGATTGACGAGAAAAGATTGGTTGCAGTATGTCATGGTCAATTGTATCAGAAGAGAATGGCAAGAGCATACAACAAAAGGGTGCATCCCCGGAAATTTGAAGTGGGCCAGATGGTATTGAAGCGCATCCTTCCCCATCAGGCGGAAGCCAAAGGCAAGTTCGCCCCAAACTGGAAAGGGCCATTCATTGTGACAAGAGTGTTGCCCAATGGTGCTTTGTATTTAACAGATATAGAAGGCAAATGTGTAGATATGGCTATCAATTCTGATGCAGTTAAGAGGTACTATGTATGATTTCTTTACTTACCTTCAGCTGTATTTTGTACTTGGCATGTTCAGAGTTGAAATAACGAAGGCATTTTGTTCCGCTACCCAAACACTTTCATCTTTTGTTACCCCTTTTGAGCTTTATTTATTTTCTTTCATACCCCTCTTTTGGAATCAGTAGTAGAAGTAGAGAATGAAAAAATGATGATGAATGAGTGAAAATAAGAAAAACGAAAAAGAAGGAAAAAGAAAAGAAAAAAAAGAAGAAAAAAAAGAAAGAAGAAAAAAAAAGAAGAAAAGAAAAAGGGAAACAAAAACAAACAACTTTCTTTTGAACTACGTTCGACCTGATAGCTTTTAAGGATATGTAGATAGCCTCATGGTTCGGACCCATCAAAATAAAAATAAAAATCCCCCAGACCCAAAGAAACTGGGGCAGAAGTTTTGGTTTTGAAAAGATGTGATTCCAAAAGTTATAATTTTGACCCCTTTTCATCTTAAGATAGTTTGAGCCTTCACACCACCCTTTCTTTCTAACCCTGTCCAAAAGCCTACATTACAATCCAAAGAAAGACCTTCCGATCAATCTTTGAGGATGTCAGGTCAAGCGAGATAGAGGTATGATTTACATCATGGGTAACACTTTGTTCATGGGCGCAAGAGAGAAGATTTAAAATGAGAGAGTCTTATTGGTGAAAACCCTCACGGGCACCGTAAGGCGATGGTAAGCTGAGAAAAAATTTAAAATAAGAGAGTCTTATTGGTGAAAACCCTCGCAGGCACCGTAAGGCGATGGTGAGTTTAGAGATGAACAAATGAGAGAGGCTTGTTGGTGAAAACCCTTCAGGGCACTACAAGTCGAATGAGGCTCGCGACTTTAGAAAGAAATTGGATCATTGAAAGCCCGGTTTTAAAGTATGAAGACATGACATGAACTGAAAATATGATTGGTTGGACGGATTAGGCTGATCAGTCTGAAATGCATGTCATGATCATTGGAGTTGGCTGCTTCCCTCAGATAAGTCTTCTTTTTCTCATTCTTCTTCATATAGTCATCTGTATTCAAAATTTTCATTTGTTCCTTTTGTCAAAAAATCATTTCACTTTGCTCTTTGAGTCTATCGTTATGGGCCTCTTTCGAGTAAGCCCTTGTTGAACAAGTAAGAAATGATTTCAAAGCCTACTACCAGCTTCTAAATTGCACAAAGCGGAGCCTGGCCAGGCACATCACAATTGACTTGATTTAGAATAAGCAGTATGGTGATAACTGGGGTTCAGGCAATCAAGTGAATCTTGAATTTTGAGAAAATACAGGGATTCAGCAACTTTCAAAATGAAAACACAATGCAACAAGTGAGTGTGAGAGATTCAGGTCATGCAAATGTTTTGTGGTCCAGTTCCAATCAAAAGGTCAAACAACTCCTTGCTAGCCGAAGCAGTTAATCAGAATGAAGCATGGCAGTGGCGGAAGCAGAAACTCAGCAATGATACCACAAATTCACCACCACGTTTTCAAACTAACAAGATTTTATTTGTCTGAAACAGGGATAAGGAAATTTTTTTTATCCACAGGGACCTCCTATGGAAAAGCATGGTTCAGGGAGCAAGAAATTCTGTTCAGAATCCTCCAAGATGAGAGCATGGCTCAGGTAAGTTCATTCTCAATTCTCAGGACCCTCCTGGATAATGGGATTTAATTTAAAAGTTTTCAGGACCCTCCTGGATAATGGGATTTAATTTAAAAAGTTTTCACGACCCTCCTGAATAATGGGATTTAATTTAAAATTTTCAGGAACCTCCTGGATAATGGGATTTAGTTGTAAGTTCTCAGGACCCTCCTGGAAAATGGAATTTAATTTAAGATTTTCAGGACCCTCCTAGATAATGGGATTTAATTTTAAAAGTTTTCAGGACCCTCCTGGATAATGGGATTTAATTTAAAATTTTCAGAACCCTCCTGGATAACGAGGGAATACAATTCAAGTTTTTGGTAATCAGGCGCCCACCTGGATAACGAGAGGATACAATTCAAGTTTTGGTAATCAGGTGCCCACCTGGATAACGAGGGAATACAATTCAAGTTGTTGGTAATCAGGCGCCCACCTGGATAACGAGGGAATATAATTCAAGTTTTGGAAATCAGGCGCCTACCTGGAGAACGATGGAATCCATTTCAAACTCTTTTCAAAGTCATTTCAAAATTCAATTCATGTTAGAAGTAGCAGAAGCTTGCGGCAACAATGCAAGTCAACAGTCCGAGGTGACCAACATAAGTAGTCTCAATCCAAAGAAGAAAAAAAAGAAAGAAAAGAAAGAAAGTGAATCCAAAATGCAGAAGCAGAAAAAAATGTGAACTGCTCAAGACGTGGTTGAAGTCACGAGCGCTACATGTCCAGTCTTGATCCGAATAAGCTAAAGAAGAACGAGCTAGCACCTGCAGCTAACGAGCATCAAGGTTCAAATCTAAAGTCTGCATGAAGAACCATTCAAGACTCAAGCTCAAGCTTCAGAAGACTTATAGATAGGAATTTTGTAACTCATAGTGACAGGCTTAGTTAGACTTTTTTATTTTTTGATTTTTATGTAATAACAGGACCGCGGACCGGAACCTCAACGGAATGGTACCTCGATCGGCTCTCCACCTTGGTATACTCCATCATCTCACTCACTTCTGAACTACACGTGGCCGGATTCCTTTATAGCCAAGGATATGTAGGCAGCTCAAATACCAGGGCTCGGTCACATCTCTTCCTTTCTCTTAGTTTTTGGTCTTTCTAAATAAGAATCGGGTCAAAAAACCTGTCTAGTCGTTCTTTGTCTAAAAATACTTCATATTTCCAGTCAAAGAGGGGCAGCTGTAGACATGTGATTTTTGACCCTCCCCAAGATTTTACATATTTTAGTATTTAAATACTTAATTTAGGTCTAATATAGTTACTTCAACTAATTTTGACTCTTTTACATTATTTTTATCACAAAATTGAAAATACAAAAAATAGTTCCATATTTCTCTATTCAATTCACGTATTAGATATCCTTAGAAATATATTACTTTGAACCTATTTTATTTTAATATAATCTTTGAAAATGCCAAAAAATAGTTTCAACTTTAATTTTTAGTTTTATTTTACATATAATAGTTTATTAAAATCAATTAAGAGTTTTTATATTTTGTAGTTATTTAAATTGAATTTATAACCTTTTCTTGACCCAATTTTGTAAAATTTCCAAGCCCAATCTCCTTGGCCCAATTAACTTTTCCGTAACTCTTAACACATCAAAAAGAACCCTACACCTGAGAGAAAAAAATGGAGAGGGAGCAGCCATGAGAACAACCCCATGAGAGATCATCTTTTTCTTGAACACAAGACCTAAAAAATCGAGACCCTAAGGATTGAGCTCTCTTCTTCTACACAACAACAGACCCTAGCCTTATCTTCATCGGAAACCCTAGTGCCTGATCACTCCATAGCCAGCGTCCACCCCTTCTTCTTTCACCCTACACACGAACAAAAACCAGACGACCACCCAAGCTTCAGCGCCCATCAAGACTAAAAAACAAAGGATCTGTTTCTTCCCCAATACCAAGGACCAACCTAACAGACCCTTGACTTCAAAAACACCAAACGAGCCGCTTCTTCATCTTCCATATTCACAACACCCAAACCTAAGACCTCGATTTTTTGGGAAGGAGCCGTTCTCTTTCATGGACACAAGACCAAAACCCTAGGGGAACCTTCTTCTTCTTATGAACATCAGCGATAGAACTCGATGACCCCTCTCAGCGGCTAACTCCAAAACGAACTCCATCAACGACCATCTTCGAAAATAAAAAAAAACAAAACACAAACACTTTAGCTTCTTTCTCCGTGATTCTGGCTCCCAATTATGGAGTTTGATTGAGAGAAGTTTTTTTGAGAGCTGAGGTTGCCGTTCGAGATGTCAATTTTGAATTCACGATTTCTGCCCGTCTCTCATCGTTGTCCTCTCAGTTGAATCTGTGGAGCCAAACTTTCTGTATTTGCCCGTTTTTAATATATTAAAAGAACTCCAACAGGTCCCTCTAAACTTCCCTCTCTTATTTTGTTTGATCTCTCTTTTTGCCATGTTAATTTGCGTATGATGATGAATTCTCCATGATACATGTCCATAGAAGCAGTTTTGTATCGTTGCAATTTGGGGCTAGGAATCCTAGCTTCACTTAGTTGTAATTACTTCTTTTTTTTTGTAGAAAATGGTGTTGATTTTGGTGTTCATTGATTTATGATGCAATCTTCATTTGAACTAAGCTTGAGGTTTCACATTAAAGGGAATAATTAGTTTCTTTTATAGTCACATACTTAAATCAGTAGTATTAATATTTAGTGTTAGTATTCTGCATCTTTCCTTTTAAAACTAGAACTTAAGCTTTCAATATATCAGTAGTGGATTTTCCAACTTTGGGTTAAGAATGAATTGTTAATGTTTATTAGATTTATTTGGAGAATTGATGTTTATTAGTTAAACTTTTTTTGGTATTGAAAATACAATAGAATGGCATCCTAATATGATTTGGTTAAATTTCTTTAAATCTTTTAGTGCTTTAGTCCATTTCTTGTCCCCTTGTAGATAAGTTAATTTGTCTCTTATTGACTTAGTTTGTTGAATAAATATGGCAAAGTAAGTTGGTTTTGATTTGAGTTGAAAGAGCGTTAAGGAATCTTGCAGCTCAGTTGTGGCGTAGTTGGTTTAAAATTGACTTGGGATCGGGGCTTAAATATTAAAAGACAACGGAAAGAAATATCCTTGTTGCGCCTGTTTTATTTTATTTAATTGGCCCGCTAGTAGCATGTTTAGGCCAACTACTTGGGTAGGCAATATTAGGACGCTTTATTAGTTTTCGAGGCGAGAGGTCGTTCCTTTAGTTTATTATCTGGGGAAAGCCTCGCGAAATTTGTAGATATTGTTATCCGGGGTATGCCCCGAAGCATTTGTATTTGGAGGCCGAAAGTAGAACTTGTAGTATTTTTATTTTATTTTTCATTTTTCATTTCTCTTTTATTAGGTAGGGACGACCTCGAGCCTCTTGTGTGTTTATTTCATTTTGTGTGTTTTGCCTCAATTTGAATATTTTAAAAGCCAACAAGATCGAGTACGCAACCGTGACTTTCACCGAACTCGGGGAATGCCTAACACCTTCTCCCCGAGTTAAATGAATCCCCTTACCCGATTCTCTGGTACAGACTTAGTTTTAGAGTCTCAAGTGTTTTAAAAGGAAAAAAAAATATTTTTAGAAAAACGGTGACCTGACACACCGAAATCAATGTCAGGTGGCGACTCTGAGTTAATCCTTTTGAACACAAATTTTGTCACATCCTAATTGAAAACCCTTTCAAGCTTTACAAAAATCTTTTTATTAATTTAAGAGGGTTTAGTGAAGTTTGTAAAAAAAGAGGTGTGACATAGATGACGAAAATCCCCACTTGAAGCTCTCCAAAAATTGACCCCCATGAAAGATTTGAGATAAAAATGAGCCAAAACCCGTTTTAAAACACTTCACTGCCCAGGAGACCCTTCTATGCGATCGCATTCCTCCAACCGCGATTGCATAAGCCAAATCCCAGCGGCCTCCAAAATGCACTATGCGATCGCACACTCTTCCCCCGCGATCGCATAAGCCAAAAACCCAGCAACCCCTAAAATGTACTATGTGATCGCACTTCTCTCCATGCGTTCGCATAAGCCAAAACAGCAGCCTCTAAATTTTGCACTATGCGATCGCACTCCTCTCCATGCGATCGCATAGAGTAAAAATCTGTTGCACTAACATCAGAAAACCAGCAATCACCCACAATGCTAAAAATGCTCGTTGAGCATCCGAAACACATCCGAGGCCCTTAGGACCTCAACCAAACCTACCAACTAGTCCCATAACTTAACACGGACCTGCTCGAGGCCTCAAATCACATCAAACAACATTGAAATCATGAATCATCCTCCAATTCAAGCTTAATGAACTTTAGAATTTCAAACTTCTACATTTGATGTTGAAACCTATCAAATCACGTCCGATTGACCTCAAATTTTGTGCACAAGTCATATTTAACATTACAGACCTACTCCAACTTCCGGAATCAGATTCCGACCCCGATATCAAAAAGTCTACTTCCGATCAAATTTCTCAAAAACCTTCAAATTTCTATCTTTAGCCAAATGACTCCAAAATGACCCACGGACCCCCGAATTCACTTCCGATCGCGCTAACAACACCAGAATCACCATACGGAGCTATTCTCAGACTCGGAATCCCAAAGAAACATTGATAACACTGAAAGACACTTCAACCCAAACTTATGAAATTCTTCCAAAAATGCTAACTTCCATAATAGGTGCTGAAACATTCCCGGGTCTTCCAAAACCCGATCCGGAAATATGCCCAAGTTTGAAATCATCATACGAACCTTCTGGAACCTTCGAATCTCGATTCCAAGGTTGTTTACTCAAAAATCCAATCTTAGTCAATTCTTTCAACTTAGAGCTTCCGAAATGAGAATTTTCTTTCCAAATTAACTCCGAACTTCCCAAAATTCAATTCTGACCATGTGTACAGGTCATAATACCTGAAGTGAAGCTACTCAAGGCCTCAAACTACTGAACGACATGCTAGAGCTCAAAACGACCGGTCGGGTCGTTACATTAGAGTTTCAAGTTGAAAAGTTAAGGACATTTGGTCCTGAAGTTTGAGTTTCAAGTTGAAAAGTTAAGGACACTTGGTCCTGAAATTTGACTTACATGTTCAAAAGTTAATCACACTTGGTCCTTAACTTAGAGTTACAAGTTAAAAAGTTAAGGACATGCAGTCCTTAACTTCAAGTTTCAAGTTCAAAAAAGTTAAGGATACTTGGTCCTTAACTTTGAATTCCAAGTTCAAAAGTTAAGGACACTTGGTACTTAACTTTGAATTCCAAGTTCAAAAGTTAAGAACACTTGGTCCTGAACTTTTATTTACAAGTTCAACAGTTAAGGACACTTGATCCTTTACTTACTGTTCCAAGTTCATAACTTAAGGAAACTTGGTCCTGAAGTTAAGGACACTTGGTCCTTAACTTTAAATTCCAAGTTCAAAAGTTAAGGACACTTTTTCTTGAACTTACAGTACATGTTTTTAATTATACAAGGATTGCTCTATAAAATATGTTCTATGTTTCCCATTCTCTTGAATTGCAGGATGGAAACAATATGCATTATAGTTGCTTTTAATGGTAGATGGACTGAAGACTATAAGTATCTTGATCATCAAACAAAGCTTGTTCTAGTACCTGAGGCAATTCGATTTGAAGATTTCATTAAATAGATCTTTGAAGTTATTGAATTGGATAGAGACAAGATTTAAGCAATGATATGGTTTGATATCAACCTTGGAACAAGCAAGGGAATTCTTGTATCCAAATATTTAGATCTTCACACATGTATAGTGTTACTAAAAAGTCATTCACTCTTCAAAGGCTGTTGTTTCATTATTGATATTTCGGAAAGAATTTTTGGATCAACCAGCACCTTTGAACATGTCAATAGAGAAACTCAACATGACAATCAAAACAAATTCCAACAGATAATGGAAATAGATATGGTTGAAGCTCAACCAATAACTGAAGAGGTGCTTCAAACATTTGATTCTATTCAAGTAGAAGGACAAAGCATTATAGAGATTGACAACGAACAAGCTTTGGGTATTCAAGTCTTAGAGAGTGCACCGGTAATCGAAGAAGTTGTTGAAAAAACCTCTACTCAACTAACTAGACGAAGGTCAAATTTGAAAAAAAAAAAAAAAGAATCCCCAACCACGATATTAAGAGAAAATGCTTCGTTGGATGAAATAAAAGTGGGATCAATATTTGATAAAAAGAAGAGTATAATTAACTGTTTTTCAAATATAGCAATTAAAGAACATTTTGAATTCAAAGTTGTTAGATCAAGCTTAACAAGATATTCGTTGAAATGCAATGATGGTAGGTGTGGGTGGTGTGTGCGTGCTTTCAGAATTAAAGATTCAACACTGTTCAAGATAGTAAAGATTGAGAAAAATCATGACTGCTCTGTTAACACTATGAAAGCTAATCAAAGGCATGCAACTTCAAAGTTGATTAGTGGTTACATTATTGACAATCTTCGAGACCCAAGGTTTGAAGGTACACCAGCTTTTGTCATAGCAGAAATGCAAAAATTGCATGGACTAGACATTGGTATCATAAGGCATGGCGTGCTATTCAATGTGCTTCTGCTTTAATAAGAGGAACTCCTGAAGAGAATTATGAATTATTGTCTTCATACTTGTATATGATGAGATGTAAAAATTCAGGAACATATACTAACATAAAGATAGACGACGACAACAACAAGTAAACAATCAAAAAAAATTATTAGTCTGTTTTATAATCTTTAGGACATGCTGTCTTTGACTAGTTGAAAAGTTAAGGACGTGTTGTTCTTAACTTTCATGTGTGCACTCAAAAAGTTAAGGACACTTGGTCCTTAACTTAGAATTGCAAGTTATAAAATTAAGGACATGGTGACCTTAACTTTTGACCTTGTTAGTCTAAGTTAAGAACTCCATGTCCTTAACTTTTGAACTTTGAACTCAAAGTTAAGGACTGTATGTCCTTAACTTTATAACTTGTAACTCTAAGTTAAGGACTGCATGTCCTTAACTTTTGACTTTGTTAGTCTAACTTCAGGACTACTTGTCCTTAACTTTCGGCCTTGTAACCTGAAGTTCAGGACTATATGTCCTTAACTTTTGACCTTGTTAGTCTAAGTTAAGGATTGTCTATCCTTAGCTTCTGTTAACCTTGTTTTATACTGTATTTTCAGGTTTCTTTATATATTTTATGCATATGGATCATCAATATTTGGTTGGAATCATTGTAGACCAGTGATTGCTGTTGATGAAACTTTTTTGAAGTCAAAATTTCGTGGCGTTTTAATGATTTCAGTTTCAAAGAATGCAAATAACCAAATTTTTCCACTCGCCTTTGAAGTAGCAGAATCTAAAAATAACAATTCCTATGAGTGGTAATTTAGTGAGATTCACAATGCAATTGGAAGTCGTGAGAATTTAATTTTTTTTATCAGACATGCATCAATCTATTGCATATGCCATCGCAAAGGTATATCCTGAAAGCCACCATGGGATTTGTATCTATCATTTGGAGTAGAACCTGCGAAGGAAAGTGAAAAGTGAGGTCATAAAACTTTTACAAACTGCTGCAAAAGTATACATGCACAAAGAATTTGATCTTTACATGTCAGATATAGCAAAAGTAGATAAGAAGACTTATGCCTATTTGATGGAAGAACCACCGGAAGGGTGGGCACATTCTTGTAGTTCACGACGAAGATATGACATGCTCACAACAAGCATAGTTGAGTCAATGAATTCTGTCCTATTAGAAGCAAGGGAGCTGCCTATATTAAGAATGATGGATTTCATTTAAGTGAAGCTATAACGTTGGTTTTATGAAAGAAGAACTAAAGCAGAAGGAACTTTTTATGATGTTTCTTGTTGGGTAGAGGAGGAATTGAAGAAAAAGATAGATTTAGCATTTACTTTGAATGTAAGTATTATGTTCTATGTTTAGGTTATTATTTTAATATAATTTAACATAATTTACTAACTTATAATTTTTCAACATTAAAGGTCTTCTCTGTTGATTCATGACATTCTAGAGTTGAAGAGGAAGGAATAACTTTCTTGGTGGACTTAAACAAAAGAACATGTGATTGTTTTCAGTTTCAATTTGATGAATTACCATGCATACATGCAATTGTAGCTATCGAGAAGAGAAACATCAAGAAGTCCAACTTTTGCTTGCACTGGTACTTAAAGGAATCTTGGCTGAAAATATTTAAAGACAAATACATCTTGTAGGACATACTGATTCTTGGATTGTACCAGAGAGTGTTAAGTCACAAATTGTTAAACCTCCAGATTTCAAAGTGCCACCAGGTAGAAGGCAGAAGAGAAGGCATATTCCAGCTACCGAGTCATCAAAATTAACATTCAAATGTGGTCGTTGCAGAAGAATTAGTCATAATAGAACAGCTTGTATAGATTCTCCGGCAGTCCATCCATTTCCAAGAAAGCATAGAGACTAGTAGATATATTCACTTATGTTTATCGATTCTTTTAAGTTTTTGCTATAAATCGGATTCATTTAGATTATTCTTATTTGAGCATATGTCTGAATTTTCAAAATTTCTATCTTCTTACATTCTTTTTGTTTATTTTGAGTTCAAAGTTCAAAAGTTAAGGATAGACAGTCCTTAAGTTTGATTTACAGGTTCAAAAGTTAAGGACAGGAAGTCCTTATGTTTGACTTACAGGTTCAAAATTTAAGGATAGGCAGTCCTTAACTTTGAGTTCAAAGTTCAAAAGTTAAGGACTGTCTGTCCTTAACTTTGACTTACAAGTTCTAAAGTTAAAGACAGACAATCCTTAACTTTGAGTTTCAAGTTCAAAAGTTAAGGACAGGCAGTCCTTAACTTTGAGTTCAAAGTTCAAAAGTTAAGGACAGGCAGTCCTTAACTTTGACTTATAAGTTGAAAAGTTAAGGACACTTGGTCCTTAACTTACAGTTCCAAGTACAAAAAATAAGGACATTTGGTCCTGAAGTTTGAGTTCCAAGTTCAAAAGTTAAGGATTTAATTTCAAAAGTTGAGGACACATGGTCCTGAACTTAGACTTTCAAGTTCAAAAGTTAAGGACACTTGGTCCTGAAGTTTCAGTTTCGAGTTCAAAAGTTAAGGACACATGCTCCTGAACTTTGACTTATAAGTTCAAAAGTTAAGGACACTTGGTCCTTTACTTTGAATTTTAAGTTCAATTACACTTGGTCCTGAACTAATACTAACAAGCTCAATGGACAAATCAATACTTGACAGAAAGAAAGAAATTAATAACATGATGCCTTCGTATTTCTTCTAAAATTGTAATTTTGCATAGCTGTGACAAAAAATTATGCTATGCAAACAAAATAAAAGTGCCTTTTGAGGAATTTACAAGATATTATAGAATTCATATGGATTCTTTATAGCAATTTTATACAAAAAATCAACCACAACTAACTTTTTTTACAACTAAACTACAGCTCCTTCGGACAACAAGTTTCATTTTCACTATCATAGTCGTCGCCAATATTTTCTGGCGGTGTATCATAACCAGAATTTCTTTTCCACTCTCTATGTGCCCAAAGATTTGCTGCAAGTTCTTTTCTAAAGTCTTTTATGTCTTCAGGTTGGAATTTCTCCACATCCTTTCCCTTCATCAACAACTCCACATATTGACTAGGAATGCACCACAATCAGTCCTAAGAAAAATGTAAGATATGGAGTCAATTAAACAATAAATCTAAAGTACATATAAACTATATAACAAATAACAACACGTACGATCCAGTTTGGTGTGGTGATCTTTGTCATTGAATATCAAATTTGTTGAATGCATTTCCAAAATACTTGTGATATTTCTCAAACTGTGAGAACTTTCGCAAGTGGGGGATCATGCGTGCATACAGTTCAATGTGATTCATTCCTGCCTCATATGGCTCACTATATATGGAATCGTACACATCATTATTTTTCTCATTCAAGTCCAATACCCCCAAAAGAAAATGTGTCACAGCATTATCATCTTCTGAAGGAAGCCGACATGGAAAAAAGATTTTGTCAACCTCTGTCCCAGCAATTCCACATCTACGACTGTCACCCCACCCATATGGTGTCAGAAACAATTGATTATCACCACACCAAAACTCATCTGCAACATCTTCATTGAAATCCTTATACACAAGCACCATATAGTTATCAAAAAGTATATCTGTAGTTGTGCGAAGAAAAGGATGGTCGCGAGGGTGGTAGCATTCCTTCTTTCTCAGAAAATATAGGGCAATGTCAATATGCTTCATAAAAAGGCAAAAAGTAAAACAAATCCATCAGTCATAAAATAATTAAAAAATGATAAATTAAGAATAAAAAAATAAATGCCTTGTGAATTATCAAACCTTATCATCAAATATAAAGCTACTATCTGAAAGCTCAAGGAAGAACATTTTGCTACTAATTTTTGATAATACAATTTGTATGGATTATTTCTCACACCATTATCATCATCATATGTATCAGTTTGTCCCCTAAAATTTTGAAAATATCAAAGTTAGAAGTTAGTCCTGAACTTAGACTTTCAAGTTGAAAAGTTAAGGATACTTGGTCTTGAAGTTTGAGTTTCAAGTTCAAAAGTTAAGGACACTTGGTCCTGAAGTTTGAGTTTCAAGTTCAAAAGTTAAGGACATTTGGTCCTGAAGTTTCAGTTTCAAGTTCAAAAGTTAAGGACACATGGTCCTGAACTTAGACATACAAGTTCAAAAGTTCAGGACACTTTGTCCTTAACTTAGACTAATAAGTAAAAAATTTAAGGACAGGCAGTCCTTAACTTATAGTTCCAACTTCAAAAGTTGAGGACACTTGGTCCTGAACTTCAAGTTTTAAGTTGAAAAGTTAAGGACACTTGGTCCTGAACTTCAAGTTTTAAGTTGAAAAGTTAAGGACACTTGGTCCTGAACTTCAAGTTTCAAGTTCACACATGGTCCTGAACTTAGACTTTCAACTTCAAAAGTTGAGGACACTTAGTCCTGAACTTAGACTTATAAGTTCAAAAGTTAAGGACACATGGTCATGAACTTTGACTTACAAGTTCAAAAGTTTAGGACACTTGGTTCTCAACTTTGAATTCCAAGTTGAAAAGTTAAGGACACTTGGTCCTTAACTTTAATTTCCAAATTCAAAAGTTAAGGACAATTAACTTTAGGAATTTTAATATCAATATACTTAGTCCTAAATTTAAAATTACAAGTTAAGGACACGAATTTAAGTAACTAATAAATAATGAAATATATTTAGGGACTTACGTTTTTTTTGCGACCTTTCTTTTTCTCCTTGCCCAACCACACAATGAATTTCTTCAATAATTTTGCATTATCTTTGGCATAATGAAAAATACATGTATGAGTATATTTTGATTTTATCAAGCCCATTTTCTTCGGAGTATTTCCATTGTGTGCCATCGATGTTCCTGTTTTTCTTTCCTGTTCAAAAGGAGATTTCAACTGCCAACTAAGCTTCTTATTTCTGTTACCTTGACCAAGATCTTCTTCAACATTTCCTTCAACCTCTATAGACAAACCCTCATCAATGCTCATTTGTGTACTTGTAGGAGTAGGAGTAAGAATAGAAAATTATGGACCATCATCAGAATAGAAAATTATGGACCATCATCACCAATACTATCTCTCTTCCTTTTTCTAGTATATTGGTTAAGATCTTCATCTTTGTTTTGCTCTGCAGACAACACTATATATATATATATATATATATATTAGTTTGTTGCAAGTCGTCAAATGAAGAGACAAAAACTAAGAACATTATTTTTGAAATGTACTGGCATTTTCAATTAT